CTTTCATTATCTTTTCGTGTCCATTTCACCTTTACTCTCTTATACCATCCTTGTTTTGTAAACGTATATATGTTGTAAATCCCTCTCTATATGAGAAAATTATTTTTTAATTTTTTATTCCTTACCCCCCTCTCTATATTGTTCTTTCTTAATAATTTTTTACATGTATATCTTTCTATGATTATATGTCTTTTTTTAATCTAATTTGTGTTCCTCCCTTTGTCATATCCATCTATATATGGGAAATTATTGGTACACCCAATATTTCAACATCCAGTTCAACACCCTTCGGTTTAGTTTTAAAAATATAATATAAATACAGTCAATTTAGTCGGTTCTTGTATTCTGTGTGCATGATTGTATCATTATATTTGTCTGTTTTTAATTTCAGACTAAAAAATAGTGATTTTTTAATGACTAAACCGGAGAATGTTGAACCGAGTGTTAAAATATTAAATGTACCAATCACTGTCCATATATATATAATATTAGAAATGTTTGCAAGTCAAAACATAAAGGATAAAGATATGTGCACACCCGGGTCAACACCCGGGTGTGCACACATCATTTTCCGATTATTAAATATCTTCTTTTTTTTTTTCTATTTCAACATGTTTTTATTAAAAAAAAATTATGTTAAAACATAAAAGACATAATTTATTAGTATTATTGTCCTTGTACTCTTTCACTTACTTACACTCCACTTTTATCATTATTTTTCTTGAACGTTATCTCTTAACTTCCCGTCTTACATTCTATCATTATATTTCTCTTTACAATATACCTCTTTTCCCTCTCCATGTTAATAATTTTTTGTTATTATTCTTTCATCTCCCAAGCTTTCTTTCTTTATTACTCTTTCTTAATTATTTATTTTATCTCTATATTATTCTTTCTTATTCTCTCTCTTTCTCTCTTTTTTTTTTTTGAACAAATTCGCAAAGGATCGGATTCGAACCATTGCCTTGGGAGAGGAGGAATGCACTTATAAGTGACCTGACGCCACTAGGCCGAAGGCCCAAGTGCTATTCTCTCTCTCTCTCTCTCTCTCTCTTATTGTCAATATTAGAAATATTTTTTACCAAAACATAGGTGACACAACTTTTTATCATTATTCTCAAGTTTTTTTTTACTTATCTTTACTCCACTTTTTTATTATTAATTTTTCTTGCGATTCAGTCTCTCAACTTCTCACTAAACATTTTATCTTTATATTTATCTCTACTCTACATTTGCCCTATTTTTGCCTCTATAGGTTGAATTCATGTACATAATAAAATGCTAATTTAGCTTTGAATTTATTAATATTTGGATGGATTTAATATGATTTTACTCGATTTTACATTATTTTCATTATTTTTGTAGGATAGGACTTAACTTTTTAAAATAAAATGTAGAACTAAATCACAATGTTTCACAACGTAAAATGATGAATAAACAGGTGAAATCAAGGATCAAATTGGAGAATTCTAAAATCTAAAGACTAAATTTAAAAAAGTTTCAAAACTAGAGGACTAACACTGTAGTTTACCATTAAGAAAAGAAACATTTTGACTCGTGTCCGCAGCTCCTCGCTCTCCCTTCCCCCCCAGCCCCCGTTCCCCCTTTTTTTTTTTTTTTTTTGGTCAATTATTTTTTTGGTCAATTTATATAATTATAACCTAGTGTTATATAATTAGAAAGTTATCAAAAAAATTAAATCAAAGCTTATAATAATAAAACCAACGAGGGGTTGGATCAAGTGACAAGCGGTTTGTTCCAGCTTAAGTAAGGTCTCGAGTTCGAAACTTTGTGTATGCAGCAGTCTTCGTTGGGAGACCCATCCACTATTTTGGTGCACCACAGCTGGTCGAGTCCAAAGTAGTCGGAAGCGCCGGATACCGGATGAGGAACCAAAAAAAAAAAAAGCTTATAATAATAAAATATAAATAAAATAAATAAATAAATCAAATCTTATTAACACTTGATTGTAATATTTGATATATATTAGATTTAAATTATCTTTTAATAAATATTATTTTAAAAGCTCATTAAGTCTTTATTGAAGTTTTTTTTAAACTCAATAAATATTTATTGAAGAATTTAAAAAAATGTATTGTTAAAATAATTTTATATATAATTAAGATACTAAAAATAACACATACTATTTAAGTGCAAGAAAAGATGAAGTAATAACTTTATCTACCAACAGTAAACTTGATTATAACTTGAAAAATAATTGATACATTCTCGGTCTAACACATTTTTTGACACACTTTCAATTTAATCATTAAAAATAAAATATAAATACAGTCAATTCAATCAGTTATTATATTTTATGTGCATGATTGTATCATTAAACTTGTTTATTTTTAATTTTAAATTAAAAATAATAAATTTTTAATAAATATATCATGTAATGTATTAAATTAGAGTGTGTACTAATCATTTCATTGTCCTTATAAATTCAACCCATTGTCATCATTTAGTTTCCCAAGGTGACTAAAATCCTTAAATTTTTATTTTAATGTAATGGTTAAAAGCAATTGATAATTAATAAAATAATTAATATTTATTATTTAATAAATTAAAATTAATTTATAAATAAATATTTTTAAATATTGTAATTAATTATTTAACAAAAAATTATATATAAATTGATAAAATTATAATTAATATTAATGACCTTAGTAAAATTATTAGTAGTCATATCCTTAGCCGAATACCCTGTAACATAGACAAATCAAATATAAAAAATTACTAAGAATTGTGACAAATTAACAGCATAAGGAAAGGAGTAACTTAATTATCAAT